GAAAACCCGGGCAGATGGAGCTCGTTAGCGGACAGCAATCGTCTAAGGGAAGGAAAACCCCGACAGAAAACCCGGGCAGATGGAGCTCGTTAGCGAACAGCAATCGTCTAAGGGAAGGAAAACCCCGACAGAAAACCCGGGCAGATGGAGCTCGTTAGCGGACAGCAATCGTCTAAGGGAAGGAAAACCCCGACAGAAAACCCGGGCAGATGGAGCTCGTTAGCGGACAGCAATCGTCTAAGGGAAGGAAAACCCTGACAGAAAACCTGGGCAGATGGAGCTCGTTATCAGGTGGCAATCCTGTGGTTGCATCTAGTAGCAAGGTTTTACCTTGAAAAAAAAAAGACCTTTTCCACTATAACAAACAGAAATAAATTAACCATTGAGAAAAGAGTTTTTTAAAAAAGCAGAGTTGACGGAAAATGACTTGTTCTAGATAATGACAAAATGATTTCGTCTGAAGATTTAAGGTTTAAGAAAGCAAAGTGGGCCGTACCTGCATCTTGGGAGACATTTGTTTAGCATCAGAGAGAATAGGATTAGTTGTAGGCAGCAAAGGAACAGAAGAACAGGTGACACGTGTGTTGTGTGATTTCAATTGCATTAATGTGATGCGTTTTGATAGTCACGCAACTGAATTTAATTGCATACATGTGGTAGCCTGGCATCCGTTGCTTGTTTCTGAATGACAATTACTTGACTTTGGACACATCGGAGTCGAAGATCCAAGATTATAGTGTATTTGTTTTCAAAGCGAACTTTGATATATTTCATTTTACTGCAATTAGTCTAGTATGTATTAAACGCATAAGTCTAATGAAATACTGAAGAGATACAACATAATTTGCTCATGTTGAAAAAGTGTGAGATGATATATCTCAGAGCCTTCTATTAAGTATTTAAAAAAAGAAATCTGTACTATTAACAGTACATATTTACTTTATTTATTAATTTATTTATTTATTTATTACTGTAGATGGACTAGTACCAATATGCCTGACAATATTAGAAATTAACGCGGTGTGTTACTTTTACACACACTGGACAAAAGAAGTGTCACCCCCTAACTCAGAGTAATAAAAGTAGGCAGATCTTGGGTACTTATAATGCCTGGTCTACTTATAATGTGACTAATGAGTATAAAACCGCTTTACCATGGAATTGTATTGTTGGTCTTGTACATGTACAGCAAATGTTATTCCTGTCTTCCTCCAATATGGTAAGATACAGGCAATTATCTAACGGTTACAGGTGCAAGTTATTAACCTGAAGAGGCGGAATATAAGCAATGTCAGAATATCGATACAATTGAATTGTTCAGTCAGAACCGTGCAGAGGGTCTGGTCTCGGTATAGAAACACTGGATCAAGAGACAAATTGCCTCTGATGGGTCGTCCAAGAAAAAATACTGGCCGTGAAGACCGACGACTGATTTTGATGTCCAGGTTGTCAAAGTTCGACACTGCTTGTCAGTTGACAACACAGTGGAACAATTTCACACCTAAGAATGTGTCTGTGAAATTTTCTAGGCGTCGGTTACATGCTCAGAGAGTGTACAGCAGGGTAGCAAGACTGAAACCTCTTATATCGTTACAAAACAGGCAACGTAGAGTAAACTAGGGTCAACAGGATCTGGAACTGGACAGTTCATGACAATTGGTCTTATATATTTTTTCTGATGAGTGTCGCTTTGGTCTGACCTCTGATGACAAACGGGTACTATGCTGGCAAACTGCTGGTAAAGCATTTGAACCACATGCAATGAATCTTCGAACCCGGAGCAGCATATTCATCATTGTGTGGGGCTGCATCAGCATCCATGGTTTGGGCGAATTGATAGTGGTTAATTGAAACATGAATCACTGGAAATATATCGATGTTTTGGAGTCAGGCTTGCTACCATCTATTACTAACATGTTTGGTGACAGGAATTATCCATTTTTTCACCAGGATGACAATGCTCCTTGTCACAGGCCCAGAGCAGTTGATGATTAGTTTGACCAACAGGACATTCGCAGGGTGATGTGGCCTGCCCAGAGTCCGGGTGCAAACATAATAGAAAATGTGTGGAATGATATGTCAAAACTTTTTACAAATGCCCATCTAACCAGCAGAGAAACTCTGTTATATTCAGTGTTTCATGCTTGGGCCAGCATAAGCTCTGAACGCATCAGACAATTATATGAAACCTTGCTTCGTAGACTGGCACCTATTATTAGGTCACGTGGCTATGCCACTAAGTACTAATTTTGGACTTAAAACTGCATATTTTGGTAGAATGTATATTTTGTTCTCATTTTGTGATTTTTTTGTGAAATTTGATGTTAATAAAATGATACCAGGAGCATATCATTCCACAGTCATCTATCTCCCCCATAGTATTGGCTCAGTAGGGGTGACACTTCTTTTGTCCAGTGTGTGTACATTAGGGTTCACATGGTTAACCCTGTTTATGATAAATATGTTTATGTTGACACATCGTATATTTATCTGACCTAGACACAGGTTTGTTTATGATAGACGATAAACGTTTACAGTTTTGCCCATATTGAGTTGGGCATATTTCGATGCTGTAGGAGAATTCATTCGAAGGCTGGTGGCATGAAACGAAAAACACGGGGATAGGCCTATATTATTTCCAGTAAGGAAACATAACCTGCAAAGGCAAGAAAAGAGGGTGATTATCCCCGTCCTTAGCTTCCATACAATGTACTTTCGTCGCTATCCCAGCAGACATACAACAGTGTTAGCTGTTATTTTCCTAAAACAAACATTGAATCATCGTTGGATTCTTTTTTGTATAAATATAATGCAATTCATGTTTGATTTTGAAAATAATATGCATATGACAGTGAATTTGCAAGTAAAACATAACTGTCTCTAGACCTACTGTTGTCATTATACTAAAAATGCTATTTTACACAATAAAAATGTTATTGCGTGTTCTAACAGCTGGTAGTTCTCTTTCCTGATAAGCCATGCAAATATTCAGTTTTTCCATTCTAATAAATGCAGCAGAATCACAGTGAACGAATCATTCGCCCGTCTATATAGAAGTAAAAAAATTAATTGCGCACTGTAGTCCGATACGCCTGCACTATCTCACGTGGTTCCGTAATAGCCGTTACAATGGTGAGTTCAGAGCCCAATGCATTGTCCACGTGATTTATAAATAGCGTGCGAACTTCCCAGCTGCGGTCAGCGTTGAATGTTATAGTCATTGAATTACGCGCAAGTTTACGGGATGGTCAATGTCTTTTAAAAATCTTCATATCATGCTTGTAAGTACTGCATCCGATACAAAATAAAATTGATGTATTATGAGAAAAATCAACTATTTTTGCCAAGTGACGAAGCAACGTACAGTACTTAAAACTGTCTTATTAATTTTCCCTGTCAAATTAAATTAAATTAAAATTGAAAAATAAATAAATATTTTCACTTCAAAGCCAAATAAATAGTTCGCCTTCTGTGTCATATGACCTGCAGTAATATACAAATTGTTCTGGTACACCTACGCGTAGTATACCTCTACGTTCTATTTATGGCAAAGTTTTTCCGCATTAATGAATAACCGCAAGTAGGTCAACGCGCAGTCGAGGCGGATCTTCATATAGTATACTCCTGTTGAGAAGAGAACATGTGAGATGTAAGAGCCAGTGAATTGGTGTTATACCTAACGCTGAAGCGGTATTAAACGGGGAACATGGCTACTGCTAATCTTAACGAGAACTCCCCACTCATCAACGTAGCAGGAGTTATCGCCAGAGACAATGAACAACGTCTCTCGTGTCGCACGCCGGCAGGCAAAGGAGTGCTATGCGTTTTGCTGGTGGTTTTCTTTGAGAGATTGGCGTATTATTCCATTACGATAAACTTGGTATCTTTTAGTGACAAGCTCTTTAAAGACATTGGCGTTCAGGGACTTACGGTTAATCTATTGTTTCAAGGTAAGGACAAGTAGTTCCATCCCGTAGTTCTAGTCGAATTGCTGTGGAGTCCAGTCAGTGATTCAGATAGAGAAAAACAATGGCATATTTTATCCTTCTGCCCCCCCCCCCCCCCAGATCTGTTTTCTGACACGTCCAATGATTGAGAAGCTATTGGAATGATGTGTGTGTGTGTGTGTGTGTGTGTGTGTGTGTGTGTGTGTGTGTAGTGGATGGGGGGGGGGGGGGAGTCCTTTAGCCACAGACTGCACAATAAAGATATTCCAATTTAGCACATTATGTAGCCTGTAAATATTGATTATTACGTAGGAGATGCCATCTCTCGTTTACGTTGAGTCAGCCTGGCTGGAGGGGATATTTAATGTCTCACCTTGAGGATACCTGGGATGCAATGGTGCGACTTAAGCCACCCTTAAGTCCACAACACCCACACCTGTGTGGGCAGTAATTTGGCAGCAGCTTCATAGAGCGCTGCTAGTTGTATTGTGGGCGAAACACAGCGGAATCAATGACGAGGCATTTTCGTACTAGTTAACACCAGCTCTCTGCTTTCACTTTTGCGGCCTACTTTCATCAAAAGTCGCGCAAGGTGTTAAACCTTTAAATAGAAGATCTTATATTTCTTGGAGATTTAAACATGTTTTTTTTTTGTCGTCAGAGACCTAAGGCCAGAAATAATAAAAAAAAAAAATTGGGGGTGGGGTGGAGAGGATGGAGCAGTTTTTAATTTTTTAGCTACTCTCATAGTGGAGAAGGGGAATTTGATTCTCAAATCTAGCTGTAAGAAAATCTGAGCTCGAAAACGATTAAAAGTCTTTTTTTTTTCGAAATTTTCTCAACAGTTTTTAATAGGATATCATCGTGTTTATAAAGGAATTGCTGGAATTAAAAAAAGCTATATTTTATCTCTGCATATAATGGTCTAACACGCATTGTAAACCTGTAGATGAGAATGGCGTTAAGACGCATAGCTCATCCATTTTCTAGAAAATATTGTTATGATGTTTTTTAGGTACAGCATTCTTCTTGCCTTTGGTGGCAGGAATAATCGCAGACACCCTCCTAGGGAAAAAGAAGATTTTGGCTAGCTTCTTTCCTATTTATATATTAGGTAATGCAAAAAAAAAAAAAAAAAAAAAAAAACAAAACAAAACAAAAAACCAAAAAATGACGTATAAGTAGGCCTAGTATTTTAAAGACTCAGTTTGTACTTTAAAGAAATGCACCTCTCTCTCTCTCTCTCTCTCTCTCTCACACACACACACACACACACACACACACACGATGAATTATTCATTTTATCATCTCTAAGAATGTTCCTTTTAAACAATGCTACCCCTCATCCAATAAGCTGATCACAGACGAATACATATATTTTAGGCTCTCTCCTTTTTACCATATCTGGAGTCAGTGGCGTTGTGCAGGTAAGAGAATTGCGGAGTTGCTGATGCAATAGAAATTTTTTGACGGAAACTCTATCTGTCTGTCTTTGTCTGTGTGCGGCATGCGAACGCGCGCATGTTTGATTGTAGACTTTTAATACTTATAATAGAACTGTAATTATGGTTTGTTTTTATTCAACCTTATTACTTTCTGTCTCACACAATCCATTATTAGTTGCACACGGCTAGTTAGTTATTTTACTGTAATTTTATAGATTTTGGATTTTATATTAAACGATTTCTTTATCATTGATTTTAATTATTTAAATTTAATGAAAATTAACCAACTTACTGTCTGACTAGTTATTTCTTTGTATTATTCATTGGAATACTTCATTATTTGATGTTCATTAATTACAACAAGAAATTGGCATAAACATATTTCAGGAAGCGAAAGTGATACTTTTCGTAGCTGGTCTAAGCCTTTGTACAGTCGGAGCAGCAGGGGTTCGTGCTTGTCTCACTCCTTACGGAGCAGATCAAATTGAAACAAAAGACTCCCAAAGATCTTTCTTTCATTGGTAAGTTTAAAATGTGTTATTCCATTTATGTTCAACCTTTTCGTGTTTTCGGGAGAATGTGCACATTTATTTATGTGCGTGTGAGAGTGCGTGTGTTGGTGTGCACGGCCGTGCGTGAGTACTGGTGCGTACGTGCATGCGTGTGCGTGTGTGAAGGGGTGGTCTGAGATATACACATGTATGACATAAAAAGCAAACGTTAAAGCAAAGGGCTTTGATACAAAATAATTCAAACCCGGGAATCAAGGCTTCGTTCACATGGAATGTTTATTTTCTAAAAATCTATTTTCTATTCGCGGTATCGTATGATCACGGTCTGTGCCCTGAATATCCCGCCCCTAATTACTGGCAGCGCGAGCCAGTTACTTATAGTAACTTATAGTNTATGATCACGGTCTGTGCCCTGAATATCCCGCCCCTAATTACTGGCAGCGCGAGCCAGTTACTTATAGTAACTTATAGTAACTGGCTCGCGCTGCCAGTAATTACGCCGCGGGATATTCAGGGAACAGACCGTGATCACAAGATATACCGCGAATAGAAAATATATTTTTAGAAAATAGACTTTCCATGTGAACGAAGCCCAAGACACGCCTGGTTAAACATTCAATCGCTTTAGATTTTATTTACTAGTTTAAACAGTATATGTAGGGCCTATCTTGTTGCAATCTGAAAATTGATAAAGATGAAGTTATAACGAAGTCAAACATTTCTGACGAGGAGTTCTGAGTCAACAGGTTGTCAAAATAGGAAATTTAGGGAAAAGTCTCAAAACCGCCATCAGCCCCTCCCCCCATTCATCCCAGGTCTTCGCCCTCCCAAGCAGAATAAAAACCAGACAAAGTTAAGTAATTTCCATACCTCCTATATTATAACAAATGTGTCCTTATGTACTGTTTATGTCATAGTTTTGCCCCCCCCCCCCCCCCTCTCCTCATCCCTCAACCCACCACTGCTGTACACATCCGATCAAAACTTTCATTATCTTGAGTACGACAATAGTCAATATACTGGGTACTTCTTACAGTGTAAACAGTAACCAGATAAGATTGGAAATGTACTGTGCTATCAATATATTGGCTGTACTTTAATACTCTTGGCGCATGGTTCAAATTGTACGACGGTTTTCGTGGTCGTCCGACGGGGTTATATCTAGGAAGGTGTCAATGCAGATAATGAATGTGTGGCATGTCAGTGCATGATACATTGTGCACTACATAATCATTTGTCTTGATGCAGTAAGACTATCACATTGTTATCTTATATCCTTATGTCAAAAGTGGGGATCTGACGAAGTCCGGAATAGGCAATATATAGAAACAGACGTTTTGAACGCGAATGACGTTGAGGTTGCAGTGGGCAGGCATTACTCTTCAATGGATCTTCCCGGAGACTTTATTTACTCTAAAATAAATTATGAACAAGAATTCACGAGACAATAAATAAACGGGTGTGATAATATGAAAAATGACAGTTATTAGGATTATGTATTTATTTATTTTAATTCCAATAGTTTTTCTTCATCAGTGCGAAAGACAACCAGTGATTTTCAACTTTAAGGGGCAGCATTCTATTGAGCTCATAACTTGTTAAATTATAAAAGGAAATAATTACATATGATACTCATAAATCACAGTCATCTCCATGCTAATAGCTCAAAGTTTGTGTTTCAATGTCCATTCATCATAAAACTAATCTTTATAACTAGCTCTTTATTTTGATTGCAATTGTAGAATCCCTAAATCACCATCTAAGTAATTGCAGTACTCTAGGGGCGAATTCCCATAGATTTTAGATCGATCTACCCCCGTGGGGAGTCCCACTAGATTACTGTCAGATAATCCGGCTTAAATGTTCGTCCCGCCTACTACAAGCTGTAAGGGGGTAATTAATTTTCGTGCCCGCTCGACTGACAGCTATTTAGCGTGAACCCCTAAGGAGTTAGGTCGATCTAGTTGGATCGATCTAATCTCTGGGAATGGGGTCTAGTAGACATAGTGCCAAGTTACATAAGCATTTAAAAAGACAGGCTGTATTTTCTACAATAAATTGAGTAATTTTAAACAAAAATACTTTTAAATGTTTAAAAGACTTAAGCATGCAATTTGACTATCAACGTACCTTTATAATCAATTCTCCGATGACAAACACTGTGTTATCGACGTTCTTTTACGACGTTTTTATGCGGTTTTGCCTGGGAAGTGATAAAAGGTTTATCATTTTTTTTCTATATGTCTTTGAAGCCAGCCTTTTCACTTTTGTTGATGATAAGATGCTCAGGTTAATAAAATATTTTTACTATCGAGTTATATTATATTGAATATGTCTTTGTTGCTTTTCAGGTCTTATTTCGTGATAAATGTTAGTAGCCTTATTGCGGTCACTGGTATTAATTACATTGAGCTGGAAGAAGGCTACTGGTCCGGTTACGTTGTTGCCCCGTGTTCGCTTCTATGCGCACTGGTATTTTTCCACGTTGGCAATCGTTGGTGCCGAGAGACGGAACAGCCAAGTATATAAATCTAATTATATACAAATTTATTTTAATTGATTTACGTCTGTAAAGCAATTGATTATACCTTGCATTTGAATACGATTTTTTTGACGTTTGAAGAAACATTCATACATTCACACGTCTGTTCTATCGGGTGTTGGCTGATTCATTCATATAATCTGCCACAAGGCGCTTCCAAACAAAACAAATTCATAGGCAAATAAGTAAATGGCATCATCAAATAGTTTTTTTTTAACTAATGAATTTTTTCAAATTAGTTTTCATAAGTTATGCGTATTAAGATATATATATATATATATATATATATATATATATATATATATATATATATATATATATATATATATATATTACTATAAAAAGTTTATTATTTTGCTTTGTTTTGAAAGGTTATTTGCTCTTTGTCGCCGTGAAGCACCTGACAGGGCAAGCGAAACGCGGCAATACACACCAGTTACCTGAAAGAAACAGATTGGCCGTGGATCCAAACGATGCCAAAGCGTTCGCTAACGTCCTGGTGTGCATTTCAACTTTATTGGGTTTTAGTGTTGTTTATTCTGCGGTGAGTCGAAAGTGAGGGTAAATCAAGTGAGGGAAAATAAAGGTGAAAATTAAGGCATCGATTTACTCTCTGGAATAGGTTTACTTCCAAAGTCCTTGGGTTGCATTCAGAACAGATCATCCTCGGATGTACTTGTCTACAGGTCAAATATGGCGAACCCTACATGAAAGCAAGACCTCGTAATCCGTTAATCGCCTCACCGCGTCCACACGGATTAAATTTCGGCATCGAGGTTTAACTGCTAGGCCCCTGCAGAGAAGGCGCTTGTGGAGGCGGGGAGATTATTAAGGGATTAGGCGGTCTTGCTTTCATGTATGGTCCGCCATATTTGATCCCCGGACCAGTAGATCCGAGGATCATCTGTTGTGAATGCGACCCATGTAATCAGGTCTTGATTAAAACGTACTTAACGCGCTATGTTCTCACGTAGAAAGCGACAGAACTGGTATAAACAGTCCGTTCAAAGTTTTTCCTTACTGGTTAAACCCCGGAGGTAGGCCTATTAAATATGTCTTGTAATAAGTTACTGTAAACACGCAATTACTACGATGGTTTCTTCAAAACAACAACCAAGACCAGTATAACATGTTAGTCTAATGAATTATGAATACATTCAACGGCAAGAGGCGACATACAGATAACTCTGATCTTATCATTTCCAAAATATTTTTAGTCATTTAGTCAAAAAGCAATATGTAAACATGTATGTGCATATTATTTATTTATTTTAATCTATTTATCTATTTATTTATCTATTTATTTTAGTACCAAACTGTCTATACTCTTCAAGGAGAACACATGAACGCAACAGTTATAGGAGGAAAGGAAATCACGTCGTCCTCCTTGTCGGCATTTGACAACGCTGTTATTTTACTTATAATACCCATTGTGGACAGAGTTGTCTGGCCGTGCTTGATGTCAAGGGGAATACGGGTTTCTTATCTTCATAGAATAGGTAAGCGTGGCCTGTAATATTTCTTGGTCTTATTATTTATTTATTTATTTATTTCAATTTTTACTGGTTTATGCATTGTTTTCAATCTTGGTGATCTCCTAAAATCTATAAAGCTCTAATTGTTCGGCATGCTGTTTGACACGGCACAAGTTTTATTGTTCTATATCCTGAAAACAAATAACCAAACGGTAGTGGTGGTGGGATGATGTAGATGTTGGGGACATCTCCTTTCAACTGTTAGTTAATTAAATTTACACAAAAAGGCCCTTCAAGAAGCAAATCAATCCTTTTTCAACATTCTCTTTACTATATCTGTAACTTGCAGTAAAATTGTTACTTTATTATTGTGCCACAAATGTTTTTATTTTTCTCTAGGTTTTGGCATATTGTGCGGTATTTTGTCTGTGTTAGCAGCACTTCTGGTGGAACATTACCGCCACACCGGACTAAGTATCATGGCCCAGGTGCCGCAGTACGTTCTTATGGGTCTTGGAGAGATACTTGCCTTCATACCTTGTAAGCAAGAAAGTTTTATACTTGGATACCTTTTAAACTTAAAAATGAGAAAAGTGTGTTTTGCTTAATGCCATATTTTCTCCGTCTCGGCCAAAAATCTCATATTTCAGTACATAAACTAATGCTCAATAGATTACTATATTATACTGTGTATAAAGTATAAATGAATAGAATTAAAGAGTCGAAAAAGTGCAAATGAAGTATGTATGCTGTAATATACTAGTAAATATCAAAAGTAACAAACAGAATAGTGTTCACAGTCTAAAGTAACAAAAATTACACAATAACAAAAATTACACAATTTTGAGGTATTGACAGTATTAGTAATTATCAGTCTTCAAAAATGCCAGTAAATCGCGATTATACCTACGAGGAATTAAGTGTACATTGCTTTACAATCGGCGTGTGTTTTATTTGTTTATTTTGCTAATCTTTAGGCTATGAAATGGCATACATAGAGTCACCAGCGTTTACCAAATCCACGACTATGGGGCTCGTCTGGACTACGAGCGGGATAGGATTTTACATATCTGCATTTGTTATAAATTTAGTAGAAGAAAGTCAAAGTAAGTACCTACACTTTTTAAAGATGTATTCTTTCATATTTTCATGCTTGTCTGGCGTTTTTCTTTTTTCCTTTAATTTAATTAAAATTAAACCGTTATCCTCTCTGTCCCGTTTATTTCGAATATGTTCCATTTCAATACGATTCCCAATAAAAGCGGCACTACGCTTTAATTCCTCCTTTTAAATATGCGCTCCACTCTCTTCTGCTCTACTTTTCTCTGCTCTACGCTTGTACTCTGTGCCTTTCTCTATGCAGCACTTGGTTTTACAGCCTGGCACACTTCTCTGCTTAAGTTCACTCTAGTTCTCCACTGTTATTTCCCCATACCCAACAGTTTAGTTTTCGTTCTTTCTGTTCCATTCCGTTCCGATAAGTAATAATGTTAGGGTATAAACCAGTCAAATTGGCTATCAGTTCGTTTGTATCATTTGAAACGCAATGCAATTCCAATTATTGGCGTGTTCATTACATTAAACAGATATTGAATTGGTTTCAGATTGGTTCCCGATGAATGACGAAGACCCAAAATTATCGTATCCGTTCCTGATTTTGGAAGCCGTGGTGGTCGTATTCTTTATTTTATATCTGATCGTAGCTTGCACGCGGAAACCCAAAAATGGGGAAAATCGGGGAAATGGAAGGCACGAAATCGTGTGACAGCAGTGACGGATTTAGGGAGGTGTCAGGGGGGGGTCCTGACCCCTCTTCGATTTTTGAAAAAAATCACACCAATAGTTCCCTCTTAAAATTAGAATTTTGACTAGCTGAACCATAGTCCTAAACCGTACCAAATGGCACCGTTCGCCTTCTAAAATATCAAATTTTTTCGGGACCCGAAACCCCATGCCAAGGGAGGGGGGGAGGTCGGCTTTGCATGTCGGCCTGTCATTCCCCCCCCCCCCCCCCTTCAAATAATCCTGGATCCGCCCCTGGACAGCATAAGTGCCATTGTATACGTGTATAATGAATAAAACTGTATAAAATGATGAATAAAATTGTATCATCGGTGGATCTCGGACGTATATCAGTATTTAACTTCCGTTATTGTGTTAGGGGTACAGTAACTCTTCGTAAACAGTGCGATGGATGTGACATAATCTTCAACGTGATTTTTTTTTCAGCGTTTGTTATATTACGCATGACAGTTATTGTGGAAAGCAAAAAAAAAAAAACTATGGAGCGGCATGAAAAAAAAATGCCTAGAATCTTGTTATCGTTACCAAATTACATTTGAATATTTAATTATTTCACTGATTATTACCTTATTGCTTGTGCCAAAACACATGATTTGTTCCGACGCACGCCAATTAATTAAGAGAGGACTTTCGGACTTGTAAAACTAAGACTTCTGGATATTACTATGGAGGACAGGTCCACTTTTTTTCTATTCCATTTCACCTAAGCCATAAATTTCTGCCAACGAAACTCCGGGTGAGCTTCCCGCACTGCACGCAAACCGTGCTGGTTTCGGTTTAGTGTACTTATGGGCAGTGTCAATTTTTAAAGGGTGCAAATAGTTAGACAGGAACAATTGGATATTGACCACATTTTTGATAAGACATATTGCATCTTCACATTTCCTTCAGGCCTTAATTATGCAAACAGATTTTTTCAGGATCAGTATTAGTTTTGGTTGGTCCTACTAAATTTCGTAGTTAGAGGAGCTTGTGTTCAGGATCTCCTTGAGCAATTTCACAATAGTTTTACATAAGTCACGTTAACGTGTTGATAGCATTGTTAGAGACATATATATGTTTTCATTTGATCATTGCATGGTTTCTAAAATATTTTTCTTATTATATTTACATGTACATTGTTAGATGAGGTGTACAGATATAGTGCTGGAAGCTTAGATATTTTAGCAAATGTAAATAAAAGTAAATAGTCTTGTTTTATCATTTGAAGCATTTCTGCTATTTCAAATTGTATTTGATATAATAATCTCTTATTTATTGAACAATCGAATAAATGACGCAGTGTCCTGAAAACTTAGTCGTTTTGTCTATTCTACCGGTAGGCCCTGAGCATGAAACAACCTAAAATAAAATTTCACTCTTATATGAACTCATTTCACTCTGACCTCACGTTTGCTGATAGCAATTAATAAGTAATGACAGGAAACCATACGTGAAAACAAAGGAAAATATAAAATGAGGGATCACATATTATGTCGTCATACTACTGTACATAGTGGAGTTGCCATCAAAAGGAGGGTCAACATTTATTTCACCTCTTCGTATCCGCAATTTCTCGCTCTATCAAGTTCTTTTTCATCCACGTAAGTTCAACTGAGATCATGATAAGTGCAATTGCTTTTTTCTGTCACTGTTTAATTGATATTAACACCAAAAATCTGAAAAATAGGGCCCTTGAAATCGTGCTACAGCTAGAAAAAGTGGTCGTCTTGAGCCTCGTTTGGAGAATTTTGAAATCGAGGTCTGGTGCCGGTTACAGTGCAATATATAGGTTATATAGAGATATGCGGGGTATAAACATTTAAGGGAACCCGGAAGAAATATGTATTTGTTGCATGAATATTACACTTGTTATCGAATCGATTTGTAATACTTTATGATACCTCATGGATAAGGAAAAAGAGGGGCTTCCGCTACTCCATGAAGAACCCGAGGACAGTACGCTGGAACGCTGGAAATCGCGCGCGGCAATTCTAAGTATTTTACTGATTTTGTTCTGTGAAAGACTAGCGTATTATGCCATCACTGTGAACCTTGTGGCATTCTGTAATGATTATATCGAAGAGGACAGCGGACTGACAGTTGCCTTGCTTTTTCAAGGTAAAAAACACGTTCTTTTGCAGCTGTTATGTTCACTCGCACGCACATACATGCATATACGTGCGCACACGCGCATTTGCACGCGAATGTGAACAATAAGGGATTTTAAGCTCATCGAGAGTAAGAGTACCAGGGTTCTAATGATATATTTAGCTTATCATTTACAGAAAACTGGATTACACATTTGATCTAAGATAATTTTGTGTTTATGATATGGCACTGATACAATGTATAATAGCAAGCCTGTGCACAGTTGCTCTTGTAAATACATCCTACGTCCTGAGTGGGGCAGATATGAATGTAATGCGATGGAATCACTACATGCCTAAGCGCGTAATGCTATCCTGTTGTAAAATTTCGATAAAAGAACATCCAGTCATAGCGATAAACATGGTAGGCATAGGCCTACTCCAGGGTCGTTCAGTAAAGAGTGCAGTGGATTTATTTATTTATTTATTTATTGATTTTGATTGATTGGTTTAGTTGTTTGTATTTTCAGTATTTTTTATCATTAGGATTATTATTAATAATTATAATAACAACAATAATTATAATAATAATAATAATAAGTAAAACATTTTATGCTTAATTAATTTTTAATCAAAGAAATGCGGTAGAGTCATCTCTTCCCTTAACTACTTTCAACACACTAGTTCTTACACATATTGCAATACGTTGATATAGGTCATCAGCATTCACTCTCACGTGTGGTAGCAGTAAGAACTTTGATATTAAAGACACAGTAGACCTGTGCGGGCTTTGAGCACGAACAATTACAATTTACTATTTTTCTGCAGGTGTCCTCTAACTGATTTCTTAAACGTATTCTGCTTTCGAGCTTCGCATTAAAATGTGCGTTTTAGTACCGCTCAGTTTAGCCTTCATTAACCTTTGATTAAGTGAGGTGCATATGCGCATTCTTTGAACTTTCACTTCTCAAAAAGAAAAAAAGCAATTTTTGAAGGAGTCACGAAAATAGTTATTTTCAAAATGATAAATAATGACTTGGAGATGAGACGAGTGGGCTATCTATGAAGTAGTAGAAATAAAATATTCATAAAATAGAAATCGTATGTTCCGTCCCTTTTATCAAAATTAATCTTATCATTTCACTATTTACTGACCCCATTCCACAGCTTTGGAACCTTTATCGAACTGAACTGATTAGGTATACTCACCATTCAGTGTAACTTTGGCAAGCATTTCGCCTTGCAAATGCCTTTTTGTTAGCAAAGGCATCCTTTGTGACACTTTTGTTACGTAAACCTCTGAACTTGTTTGTTGAATCATCAACAGATTAAGTTAATTGTTGTTGAAGCAATCGTTTTTCCCTTCTTTTTAAAAGATTGTTTCCTCTCTACATTTTATTTATGATTTTAATTAATTAATAAATTAATTAATTATAGGATAGGATAATGAATAAACAGGCGGGGTGGAGTGCTTGAATTGCAATTGGTCCGAATGGCGTAGAAAATAAGGCCTTTGAAATCGGCAGTGTCTATAGGCCAACTTATCGTCCATCTTCCGATATGTAATCATCTTTTATCTTTCAAGAGATTATAAGTCAGAGCAACCCACTCTGCATGACTCTCTTCTTTGGTAGAATACCAAGGTAAAAGTGCACTTTTTCTTTAAGGAACTGCGTTTTTCTTGCCCTTGGTCCCGGGAATTATTGCAGATACCCTCCTGGGCAAGAAGAAGTTGCTTACAATATGTCTCCCTGTGTATATACTTGGTATGTATGCCGCATATTGTGCAATATCTTAAAGTTGTAGTACATTTTAAGTATGTGAGTGTACACAGTATCTTAGGATCTTTGTCTCTCTCTCTCTCTCTCTCTCTCGTGTTATTACGAGGATAAGGTATTTTTATTTCGTAAACCTCCATATTGGTTAATAAATTAATTATAAATCATTAAAAATATACATAGAATTATCAATAAGATTACAGCTCGAGTGATTGAAAAAAAAAATGGCGTTTAATTTTCATCTCTGCAGGTGGAATATTTCTGACGATTGCCGGGGACATACATCAGGAACAGGTAGGTCAACATATGTATAGTGCTAATGTATGTAGTATTGTTATCAATATCGATATTTATGATAATGAGAGATTTTACCCTATCTTGGGTGTCATGCAGAGATTAACCTGATCTGGTTCAGATGTCAGTGAAATCACCTGGCGATGCGGCAATTGAATCAACCATTGGTTTAACGTTCTCTGCTCTGTGGGAACTAGCTGTAAACTTTCAATTACATTTCAAAAGTAAAATAAAGTTTCTGTTATTTTTGGGTTCTTTAGTTATCGGAAAAGATTTTTTCTGTGTAAACTAAGCCAAATTAAGAAAAACTGATGTATGAGCTACTGGAATGCCTAAGCTAAGTGGGCAACTTATGGCGACGCATATCATAGTTGTATCAAATACGAACTTGATAAGTGTGATCAGGATGAAACTATAACATTAATATTACTACCATTTCTCTTTTCAGTATGTTAAGGCACATTGTGAGAGTTATAAGTATAGTATTGCTTTGTATATTTGCACATCCAATTGTGGGACACTTCTCTGCCTAGAAAACGCTCTTTGTCACCTTTTGCCAACAAGAAGACTTGTAAAACAGAGATTATATACTGTGCATGTATACGCATAGTCTCAACAGCCCGTGTTGGTTGAAGACGCAATGGGGTCGTGAACCAGTCAATTTTTACTAGTCTTTTACAAGTCTGAAAGGCACATAAAGCTTATGGAGTAATTTTGGTAAATGCCATTCGTTTCAGAACACCCGGGTCGGTTTGTATTACACGGGTCTATCTCTGTGTGCTGTTGGCGCAGCCTGTGTTAATTCTGTGATTACTCCCTATGGAGCGGACCAGATTGACACGAAATCTGCACAAAGATCTTTCTTTCACTGGTAAGAACGTCTCGAAATTTAACAATCAGCTGGATTCATGCGTTACTTGTTTATAAATACGCTATCGTAGACTTTAAAATCTCCGATAAACGCGAAGTTGATGATATCTCTTTTGACGTTAACTCTCTCT